ATCCATAGTATGAAGTATAGAACAACCTATAGTCTGGATAATAGATCACCCTATAGTTAGGATTATGTATTAGTCCATATTCAGAACTCGTTCTATAGTCACGTCTAAAGATCTGTTTACATATAATTTTATAGTTTGAACTATATACCAGTCTATAGTACATAGTATAGTCGAGATTATAGCTAAGTCTATAGTCAGGACTATAGATCAGTCTGGGCTATAGATCAGACTACAGACGGAACTAATAATTAAACAAGACTACAGATCAGTCTATATTCAGAACTATAGATCAGTCCTAGTCTGGACTATATATCACTTTATATTCAGCCCTATAGGTCTGTCTATAGCATATAGTACACACTATAGATCTCCATATTCAAGACTATAGATCAATCCATAGTATGAACTACAGAATAACCTATAGTCTGGATAATAGATCACCCTATAGTCATGATTATGTATTAGTCCATATTCAGCACTATATATCGTTCTATAGTCACGACTAAAGATCTGTTTATATATAATTTTATAGTTAAAACTATATACAGCACACAGTATAGACTATAGATCCCTATATTCAATACTATATATAACACTCTACAGTCGAAATTATATATCTTTCTTTAGTCAAGACTATAGTTCAGTCTTTAGTCAAGACTGTAGATCAGTCTATAGTCAGAATTATAGATCAGTTTATAGCCAGGACTGTTTAGTTTACAGTCAGAATTAGACTATAGTCTACAACATCCATCAACAAAACCTCTGAATCAAAATTGTTGTTATAATTTTTTTCAAGGTCTTTCAAAATTCAATAAATTTAAGACAAATAACAAACATTTGCAAATGTATATTTTAACAGTTTTCTTGTAATATTTGTTAATTTTCAAAAACCTCTCATAACATAAATGTTAATATAAAAACACTTTAAATATTTAAAATGACTCTTCAATGAATTGCAATTACTATAACCCACATAAAACGCTTTCGAAAATAAACCTTTTTAAAGATCCCCCCTTATACATATGTATGTTATCTATAGTAATTGAACTTTCAATCAATATAATTAATTTAAATCACGTCTAAAAAGACCTTGTAAATTTTAAATAACAAGACAAAAAAAATGTTAAATTTAAAACTATTGTTTTTAATTGAAATCTTTTTTTTTTTTTTTGTAAAATTTTTTCGCACATTTTGAAATTTTTTAACGGTTTCTTAAAAATTATTTAAAACAGAAATTAATCTTGAACTACATAAAATACTCAAAGAAAAACAACAATAAATAAACAAATAATGTAAATAATTTTTATGAGTCTCTTTTTGGTTTTTTGACATTTGATAGACAGTTTTACCCCACAGTCTGGTTGTTTTTTATGTATTAGTTTCGGAAATGTTTATTATTTTAGTTTTGTTTGTAAGTAAATTATTTTTTTTTTATATTTTTTCAATTTTAGCTTTATCTTTTTTGGAAGAAAATTAATTTTTCATAACATTTGCAAATAAAGTTTTGTAATGTCGCTATTTTTCTTCTTCTCTTTTTTTTTTAATGTCTTGACCTGAAATGTTTGCATCATTTTGATTAAGACTATAATTAGACTTAAGTAATAATTAAGATTTGGCAACGCTACTCTTTTCAGTTTGACAACACTTGTGCAATGAGCTTTAATGGCATCTTTCTCTTAATATTAGAGTTGCCAGTACATAATTTTTTAATTGAAATATTCAAATAACTTTTACGAGAAATATTTGTCTATAGTTCAGACTCTAGACTATAGATCAGTTTATAATTAAGGCTATATATCAGTTTATATTCTAGATCAGTCTAAAGTCTAGATTATAGATCATTCTGTAGTCTAGACTCTAGATCAGTCTATAATCTAGATTACAGATTAGTCTATAGTCTACACTATAGATCTGTCTATAGTTTAGATCAGTTTATAGCTCAGTCTATACTATAGATCAGTCTATAGAGTAGACTATAGATCAGTCTATAGTGTAGACTATAGATTATTCTATAGTCTAGACTATAGATTAGTCTATAGTCTAGTCCATAGTATAGGCTATAGATCAGTCTATAGTCTAGACTATAGATTAGTCTATAGTCTAGACTATAGATTAGTCTATAGTCTAGACTATAAGTTAGTCTATAGTCTAGACTATATGTTAGTCTATAGGCTAGACTATAGATTAGTCTAGAGTGTAGACTATATATTAGCCTATAGTGTAGACTATAGATCTGTCTATAGTCTAGACTATAGATCAGTCTGTAGTCTAGACCATAGATCAGTCTATAGTCTAGACTATAGATCAGTCTATAGTCTAGACTATAGACCAGTCTATAATCTAGACTATAGATCAGTAAATAGTCTAGACTATAGATGGAAAGATCGTTTTTTAGTGAATGATTATCGAAAGGGATATCTTTTTGTTCTGTAAACCTGTGCCCCGTTTCTGTAATTCTCGCATCGAGAAAATCTGTCGAAAAATTCATGATCATCTTGTGTAAAACAGGGTGAATACAAGAAATTTAAAAATTTCTTATTAAATTTTAATGAGTACAGTTTAAGAATAATCAGAGTCACACTGTTAAAAACTGGAAATTATATATTAAGTTTTTTCTCGATTCGAGAAAATTACAGAAACGATCTACAGTACGTAGATAATGTTCTCTTTATAATGATGTAATTAATTAATTCGAACTTTAACAAAAATGTGATCATGTTACACAATGATCTTAAGTTATGAATTGCTAGATAGATCAGCAACCAAAATAAAAATCAGAACCAAGTTATACGCAATTAGTTCTATTCACGATCAAAAAGTAAATTAAATTTCTCATAGATTTATCAAGATCTGGTATAGTCTGAACTATGGATCAGTCTATTGTCTAGACTTTAGATCAGTCTATAGTATAAACTATAGATTAGTCTAAAGTCTACACTAAAGATCAGATTATAGTCTAGACTATAGATCAGTTTATAGTCTTAACCATAGATCAGTCTATAGTCAAGATCATATTTTCTTAGATATTTATCGGAAACACGAACTTTTTTCTGGCAACTCTGTTAATAAATTACTGTTGCATTTCCTTATAATCTTCATCTGGCAACATTTTTCATTGTTTCTTGCAATAAACTTTAATGCATTTTATAATTAATTCTCACGCAATTCTTATATGTACTTAAATCACAATCTTGTGTACGCAAGCGTCAAATAAATATACTTGACACTTGGAAAATGTCGTGGTGTGGTGATTTTAAAGTTCTTTCTTAAAACATTATTTATCTTTTATCTCACCTTGCATCAATCACGCCAGTTTTAACCGGTTGGCAACGCCACTAACAAGTTGGTCCAATGGCACATAAATCCGAACAATGTATTTAAAACACGAATGCGAATAATAAATACACAACAAATTTTATTTGTTGGCATTTCAGTTTTAATCTAAACAAGATTAAAAATAAATAAAATAAAAAGTAAACATTTTTATTACAAAGTATTAAATAAAAATGACATACTCCATCCACATCGTACGTTCGTACACCACTTTCAATTCTCTAATTGCATTAATTCGTATGATTCGTTCATTGATACGTCTTTTAGCTGTAAATTTTCAAATAACATACAACCTGGTCAGCAGCAGTCGTCTATCAACAAACCAGAGCCATAGTACGTACACCTAACAAAATGTTTTAAATTCACTTTCAAAAAAAGAAATGGAAAATATATGGAGTATTTTAGTTTTAAAAGTATTAAAACATTTTAAACATTTTTTTATGTAAAAAATTTCATTTAATTAAAACCAAGTTACTAGTTCGTTTTTGTACAATATTTCTCTTAACCAGTTTTCTATGATTATTTAACAATTAATATATAGACAACAACAACTATTTTAACCGTTTTTATTAAATAAATTCATTTAAAGCGAAAATAAAATACCGTTACCATCACTTATCTGTCTGTTAATGGGGAGAAATACGTAAATAAATTAATAAACAAATTAATGGCAAAAAAATTAAATAAAAAGTAATTACATGCATATAAAGTCATTTTCATTGGTGGCTTCATCTTATACGAATAGACACCTTTTACTTAAGTATTGATTTTTTACTATATTGCTCTACCAAGAGTTTTAATGTTAATGTCGATAGTTTATACAGGAAAGATCGTTTTCTAATAAATGATGATCGAAAGGGATCTTTTTTTATTCTGGAAATCTGTAAATAATGCTCTCTTTATAATGATGTAATTAGTTAATTGGAACTTAAACTAAATGTGATCATAATGATCTTAAATTATTAATTGCTAGTTAGATCAGCAATCAAAACTAAAAATCAGAACCAAGTTATTCACAATTAGTTCTATTCATGATCAAAAAGTAAATTGAATTCTCATGGATGTATCGACATTAATCTTATATCTTTTACAGTTTTTGATCTATTCAATATAAGCTGCTAGATCAGCGATCAAAGCGGTAATAGGTGCGATATCTCTAGAAGTCAAGTCAAAAGAACATTGAACACAACTGTTACTATTATTGTTTAAATTTCTATAGTTTAAGATCTAGTCAAAGTCAAATGCATGATCGTCGATAGAAATTTATTATTATTGAAAGTCAAACCAAAGTTAATTGAAAAGTTTTCATAATGATAAACTTAAGATTTTTCTATTTTGTAATATATTTAAGAGCAAATAGTAGTTGTAAGATCGGTAATCAATATATAAGTATTTAGGTCAGTTGCAAGATCGGTGAGAAAATATTAAAATCGATTAGTCAACACTGTAAGTAAAATTTAATATGCACAAGTTAAACAATGATTCAGTTTAAAATCCAAAAGTAAATCTTTACATTTTTCCATTTTATGATCTATGCAAGATCATTTAAATAAATATTTGATATTGTGGAAGATCACTTGGTTTCCTTTTGCAAGATTCTCGAAAATTTCGATGTTAATAACATATATTTTTTCATTATTAAAACTTCTTTTTTTTCTTCTTTTTAGTGCTTTTTTTCACCAAATTTCGGTACATGTCCTAACCGATTATTTAAAAATCATGTAAGTACTAAGATTTTTCTACATCTCTAATATTTTGTAAGCTGCATAACTATAAAATAGTTGGCAACATTGCTGTTTATGATAAAACAAACTTACATAAATATCTACCCTGCAGCATTACCACTTGTTATAGGAATTTTTTTCTATGATCGTGCGTGACTGGCAATAATTTTCTTTGTTGTAATTTTATATTTTCTAATTTTGTTTTCCATAGATTTAGGCAGATCTTTTAAGGAATCTATTTATTACTTTTAATTGCATTTTAAAGGTATTTATGAAACGAACATAGAGAACTAAAAAGGTGCCATAGAAAGTTATTCACAATTTCATAAATTTCGATTTTTACAAGAAATTGATTTCGATTTAAACCGTTTTTTTAATTAAATTTCAAATTTGAATTTGCTGGTATCGGATGTTCCGTTTGTTCGGAAGTGATCTGTGGATTCTGACCCCGTGATTAGTCACCTGTTTTGTTTTTTAAATTTACAATCTATTTGATTGGATCTATGTTTTTTTTTTTGAGGTTCTGCGATCATATTCAATTTACTGATCGTGTTAGATTCGATCCATATTTTCTTTTGAGGTTCTGCGATCAGATTTAATTCATTGAATTCAAACGTGATCGATCGATCGATTTCATTTAATTCACTGATCTTTAAGAGCAATTAAAAACTCAATGATTTTAATTCTAAAAATATCAATATGATCCCTAATAGATTTTCGCGTAATTGTTGATCATTCTGAGATTATATCATATATAATACACTGATCGCACTGTCCTTATGGGTTTGATTTAAAATTTAAAAAAATCAGTTTTTAAGATCGATTTTGTGATCATACATTGTTGTAGTAACTTGAAAATTGACCCCGGTTTAATTTCCAGGCTTGTTGATCATTTTTAAACTTTTTTTTAGACCAAGGAACACATAACTTTTTACAGCGATCGTATTATCGCTCAATGATTTAAGTGCTAATAATTTTAGGTACTTAACTTGATCTAATTGATCAAGTTTGATTTCCTGTCTTTTGTTCGTATTGTCATGATGCGTTTGTCATTTTTTTATTTAGATCTATTTCTTTAGACCATCAAAGCAACCCTTTTTTCTCGATTTTATTTTATTTTGTATTTTGAATTCATTCTTTTCAAACTCTGCTTTTATAGCAAAAATATAATTTATTGACCCAGCTATTTTCTTTTAAGAAAAAGTATGTTAATTGCAATCTGAGTGTCAATTTCACATTATGATCAATACAACAAAGAATTGTATTGCCACAGTTTTGCAAATATTTCTAAAACTTTCCTCATGCAACTGCAACAATTATTCAGAAAGCTGAAAAATATATTGATAATGATTTTTGTTTAAATTTTTTTTTTTTTTTTTTTTTTTTGACATTCATGTTACAGATAGTTACTCTCAGCTTCTAGTGGTTATGCGTGTTGATCACTGATCTAGAACCATAACATGTAAGAGATTTCACAAAATTTTAATAGAAATTATTTATATTTTTTTGTAAACAGCTTGATATATTCTAAATTCTCCTTAAGTAATCCGATAATGATGATGTTGATGTTAATGATGATGTTGATGATCAATGAAAAGCGAAAAAAAACAACTAAAAAATTTAAGTTAATACTACCACATACCAGTTTCACATGATTGCATTTTTATACATGATGCATCAAAATACAAAATACAATGCAATATTTTGTATGGATTTGTTGTTTTAGTATTTAAGTTTTTTTTTATAATTTTTTGCTGTTTTTGTATTTTAGCAAAGTTGTAAAACGACACTAGTATGGTATCTTTGGTGTTTTGTTTATTTGCTCGTTTTTTTTAATATTGTTGTACTCAATATGTATGAAATGCAAAAAAAAAAAAAAAAAAAAAAAAATAAAGAAAAATATTGACTAACATACTTCCTTCAATATATAGACAGATATAGTAGTGAGTACCTCGTCGTACTGTATCTGTAACTACATGTGTTCATATATGTATGTATGCAAATACCAGTACACAAATGATACTTATATATCTTTGATTTTCTTATAATTTGTTGTTATTAGTTTATAGATTTTTAATTAAAAAAATCAAACTACAACAAAATTACCACCTGATACTTGTAACCCCCACCACCACCACTACTACTATTATGGTTAAATTACGATCATTCAGGGTGAATATTACACTAAAGAGTTTAACATAACTCACATAATGTGTTATTTTCTAGATATTTTTATTATATTTTTTTTATTCATTATGGAATTATGTAAGATTTTATTACATTTACTTGTTGCTTTGCTGTTTGTTTATTGATTTGTGTTTTTAAATGTTTCTGAAAGCTGTGCTTTGTCCGATTTAATCTGAACAAAGAAAAACAATTGTAAACTTCACGTTTAAAGTTTTACATTGTGCAGATATTTGCCAATTTTATTCGCAACATTATTAAATCTTTGCTTAGCAAGGGGCAAAGATTACAATAGTATTTGCAATTTTAGTTTGTAAATTTATTTCATTGCAACAAAATTTTATTGAATTTTTCGAAATTTTTTCACATCTTTTCAAAACTATAGAATTTATCAACAAATTTACAAAAATTAAGTAGAAAATTTTTTAAAATTTTGGAAAGTCTTTTGAGGTTTTATTAAAAATTTCTTTAAAACTTCCGATTTTTTTCAGTTCTAGTTCAATTCTAGTATATTTCTAGTTCAGTCTTGTTCAGTTCTAATTCAATTGCAATTCAGTTCTAATTCAATTGTAGTTCAGTTCTAATTCAATTGTAGTTCAGTTCTAGTTCAGTTCTAGTTCAGTTCTAGTTCAGTTCTAGTTCAGTTCTAGTTCAGTTCTAGTTCAGTTCTAGTTCAGTTCTAGTTCAGTTCTAGTTCAGTTCTAGTTCAGTTCTAGTTCAGTTCTAGTTCAGTTCTAGTTCAGTTCTAGTTCAGTTCTAGTTCAGTTCTAGTTCAGTTCAGTTCTAGTTCAGTTCTAGTTCAGTTCTAGTTCAGTTCTAGTTCAGTTTCTAGTTCAGTTCTAGTTCAGTTCTAGTTCAGTTCTAGTTCAGTTCTAGTTCAGTTCTAGTTCAGTTCTAGTTCGTTCTAGTTCAGTTCTAGTTCAGTTCGAGTTCAGTTCTAGTTCAGTTCTAGTTCAGTTCTAGTTCAGTTCTAGTTCAGTTCTAGTTCAGTTCTAGTTCAGTTCTAGTTTCAGTTCTAGTTCAGTTCTAGTTCAGTTCTAGTTCAGTTCTAGTTCAGTTCTAGTTCAGTTCTAGTTCAGTCTAGTTCAGTTCTAGTTCAGTTCTAGTTCAGTTCTAGTCAGTTCTAGTTCAGTTCTAGTTCAGTTCTAGTTCAGTTCTAGTTCAGTTCTAGTTCAGTTCTAGTTCAGTTCTAGTTCAGTTCTAGTTCAGTTCTAGTTCAGTTCTAGTTCAGTTCTAGTTCAGTTCTAGTTCAGTTCTAGTTCAGTTCTAGTTCAGTTCTAGTTTCAGTTCTAGTTCAGTTCTAGTTCAGTTCTAGTTCAGTTCTAGTTCAGTTCTAGTTCAGTTCTAGTTCAGTTCTAGTTCAGTTCTAGTTCAGTTCTAGTTCAGTTCTAGTTCAGTTCTAGTTCAGTTCTAGTTCAGTTCTAGTTCAGTTCTAGTTCAGTTCTAGTTCAGTTCTAGTTCAGTTCTAGTTCAGTTCTAGTTCAGTTCTAGTTCAGTTCTAGTTCAGTTCTAGTTCAGTTCTAGTTCAGTTCTAGTTCAGTTCTAGTTCAGTTCTAGTTCAGTTCTAGTTCAGTTCTAGTTCAGTTCTAGTTCAGTTCTAGTTCAGTTCTAGTTCAGTTCTAGTTCAGTTCTAGTTCAGTTCTAGTTCAGTTCTAGTTCAGTTCTAGTTCTAGTTCTAGTTCAGTTCTAGTTCAGTTCTAGTTCAGTTCTAGTTCAGTTCTAGTTCAGTTCTAGTTCAGTTCTAGTTCAGTTCTAGTTCAGTTCTAGTTCAGTTCTAGTTCAGTTCTAGTTCAGTTCTAGTTCAGTTCTAGTTCAGTTCTAGTTCAGTTCTAGTTCAGTTCTAGTTCAGTTCTAGTTCAGTTCTAGTTCAGTTCTAGTTCAGTTCTAGTTCAGTTCTAGTTCAGTTCTAGTTCAGTTCTAGTTCAGTTCTAGTTCAGTTTAGTTCAGTTCTAGTTCAGTTCTAGTTCAGTTCTAGTTCAGTTCTAGTTCAGTTCTAGTTCAGTTTCTAGTTCAGTTCTAGTTCAGTTCTAGTTCAGTTCTAGTTCAGTTCTAGTTCAGTTCTAGTTCAGTTCTAGTTCAGTTCTAGTTCAGTTCTAGTTCAGTTCTAGTTCAGTTCTAGTTCAGTTCTAGTTCAGTTCTAGTTCAGTTCTAGTTCAGTTCTAGTTCAGTTCTAGTTCAGTTCTAGTTCAGTTCTAGTTCTAGTTCAGTTCTAGTTCAGTTCTAGTTCAGTTCTAGTTCAGTTCTAGTTCAGTTCTAGTTCAGTTCTAGTTCAGTTCTAGTTCAGTTTTTCTAGTTCAGTTCTAGTTCAGTTCTAGTTCAGTTCTAGTTCAGTTCTAGTTCAGTTCTAGTTCAGTTCTAGTTCAGTTCTAGTTCAGTTCTAGTTCAGTTCTAGTTCAGTTCTAGTTCAGTTCTAGTTCAGTTCTAGTTCAGTTCTAGTTCAGTTCTAGTTCAGTTCTAGTTCAGTTCTAGTTCAGTTCTAGTTCAGTTCTAGTTCAGTTCTAGTTCAGTTCTAGTTCAGTTCTAGTTCAGTTCTAGTTCAGTTCTAGTTCAGTTCTAGTTCAGTTCTAGTTCAGTTCTAGTTCAGTTCTAGTTCAGTTCTAGTTCAGTTCTAGTTCAGTTCTAGTTCAGTTCTAGTTCAGTTCTAGTTCAGTTCTAGTTCAGTTCTAGTTCAGTTCTAGTTCAGTTCTAGTTCAGTTCTAGTTCTAGTTCAGTTCTAGTTCTAGTTCAGTTCTAGTTCTAGTTCAGTTCTAGTTCAGTTCTAGTTCAGTTCTAGTTCAGTTTTAGTTCAGTTCTAGTTCAGTTCTAGTTCAGTT